CCTTGCTCCAACACACAAACACCCACCATTGAAGTTAATGGTTTTTATTTTATTTTACAAAGGTTTTCCAGCTATGCTAAATTAGCAGGAACATTTTAATTACAGCTTGCAGTGGATAGTCCCTTGCCAGTTTCTGGGGAACTACAGTTTGGTGCATGCAGAGGGTGTGTTTGCTTAAAGACAGCTATGCACAGATATCTTGTCGGCTCATCACATGAACAGAGACAGACTGGATGAACCATATTACTTGATCATAGCTCTGACAAGCTTCAGCTAATATCTCAGGACAGCTGCTACTAACCATGGCAGGGTTAAGTTATAATTGGATTATTATAAGAAGTATTCTGAAAGAAAATAAATTACAGCTAGTTACTACCACAGATCTCACCACTCACTTTTCAATAACAAGGTGGATTTCTTTGATTTTGTTCTCTCTATTATAATGAATACTACGACTTTTTTTTTTCCTATAATACATAAGAGAACTTAATGTTTTGTCTTAAAAAACAAGAAATCAAGGAATACTCTATACCTGATATAGGCAATGCCAGAAGATAGGATGATCTCACAAACAATAAATGATATATGCCAGCCACAGTGTGATTTTGCATCTGCCTTAAGTATTGTGAGATGCTCCTTGTGAGATTTACACTTTTCTCTGCCTTTGTCATTTTGGGTACTGTTATAGGGCATGCACTTAGGACGGTAAGAATAATAGATATTGGATATTCTATTGGCTAATGTGTGTGTGTGTGGGGGGGAGGAAGGCAGGGCATGGAAATGTGCTTCATATCTTTAGTACTTTATCACTGCTCTTCTGTGAGAGAAACTGAGCCTTAACTTTGTGCTTACAGAAATGTTACTTAAGAGGGCCTATGCAAAACAAAATATTTAGTGCAGGTGTTTGCAGTATAATACCACACAGTTTCTACTAAGAGAGCTATGAAGAAAATTAATGAATATTGACTAATTTTATGTTTCCTAACATCATTCTACAAACACCAGTTTTGGCACCTCAAGCAAGTAATAACAGCCTTTAGCTTGTGTGGGAGCACATTTGGCTTTGATGGCACTGTTGGATGCCAGAGAGTATGTTTTGTCCCAGTATTATCTGGGTCCTTGCTTTGCTCTTTGCCAGATTCTAAGAGGGAAAATGCTGAAAATGTTGAACAACTTTTGGATCTAATGCAACATGTTGTTTCTTTCATCTAGAATTTGTATTAGCTTAAAAAAAAAAAAAAAAAAACACCACACAACTAGTTTAAAAACAAAAACGCTTTAGTGATGCTTTAGATAACTAAAGCAGATGGAGGAGACTATGTGTGAAGATTTTGTTTATACATTTTGAAAGGCATTTAAAACAAACCAAAAGTATTTCTCCATACGGACCTTCTAACAAGAAGAAAAACCATTTCTTTTCTCTGCCATAAGATCTCTGCTAGTTCCTTCTCTTAATATATAGGAATGGAGTTTCATTGCAAAAAAAAAGTCATGAGAAAAGAAGTATTTCAATGGAATTTCTAATATTGACTCAAAATATGCTTCAAACTTGGGTTTTACCAATATTTCACTCTGGTTGAGCTCTTGGAGGATGTGATGTGGATTGAAAATAAAATTTTGGAATTTTCTGGGGAATGGGATTTCCATTTGTCAGTCACCTACAAGCCCAGTCATTGCCTCCTCCACACTTCTCCCTGGTCACATTCCGAGAGGGCTTATTTACCCTTCCACATTCTGAGAGGGTTTATTTATCAAGTTGCATAGCTGGATCTCAAGTGGTGAAAATTAGCAGATTGCAAGCATGGTAACTAGATTCCCAAGTACAGGAATTGTGTCTGTTCTTGAATCCAGGAATTCCCATGCCTTGCACATTTCATATACCAAATTGTGCTCTGACCTCCAAGTACAGCTATTTGCTTGTTTCTTTCAATTATGGGGCCAGAGAAAGCTGCTTCCAGACCTGATCCTTGCTCCTGTCCTACCTTCTTATTTATACTGTAAGGCGAAATTGATTTTTGAATCTATTTCAACCTATCTCTGTTTCTTTTTTATCACACAACTCCACAATCAATTGTGGTGGTGCATCTCAAGCAATGATACTGGAGCAGTAGTTGACATGGTTGTTAAAGAAATGTAAATCTAAACGCATGATTTTTTTTCCCTTTGTCATGATGAGCTGGGTACAAGTGCTTGAAAGTCTGCTTAACCTTTCTGAAATAATCTTTGTGGGAGCTGTGAGCTGTTAATTTGTTTCAATGAGACACCAAGTTTGAAATTTAAAGATGTTAGAGTGAAAATTAAAAGTGCAAATTGCTTCATCACTTCTTATCCTAGCAGAAAGCAGCCGTCTAACATGATTCCTTCACAATCCTGCACTTCCACTTCAAGCATTTGGAAATCAAATTCACATAAAAAGTTCAACATACATGTAATTACCAAAACATTCACAGGTCTATGGATATCAATATTGATTGCCATTGGTTTCTCTCTTAAGCATATTAATATTTGTTCATGGCATCTTCTCTCCTAAGCATACTTTTATGCAAAGATTATGGTTAGATATTGTCCCATCCTGACATTACAGAAATACATACTAACCTTATGAGTAGTTCTTAATACCTTAGTTTTCTGTTGCTTAATATGATATTTTTCTTTTGTTTATTTTCCTCGGCTTTTCTGTAAATTTCATTAGGAGAAATTTCTTCTCAGAGAGAGCAGTTAGGCATTGGAACAGGTTGAGATAAGGACAGCTTAATAAGACAGGTAAAAAATAAGAACTAATAATAATAATTATAATGATAATAATAATAATTTATAAAAAAAAAAAGTGATGCACACACAGCTGGTCCCTGAGCAACAGCAGCAGCCCCGGCCAACTCACCCCTTTTTATCATTCCTCGTGACACTCTATGGTATGGGACATCCCTTCGGCCAGCTTGGGCCAGCTGCCCTGGCTGTGTCCCCAACAACTCCTGGCACACCCCCAGCATCCTCGCTGGCAGGGCAACACGAGGAGCTGGAAAGGCCTTGGCTCTGTGAGAGCACTGCTCTGAAACAACTAAAACATTGGTGTGTTATCTGCATTGTTCTCTTCCTAAATCCAAAACACAGCACCTTAACAGCTACTAGGAGGAACATTAACTCTATACCAGCTGCAACCAGGATAAAGAAGTACAATTATAGTTTTCTGTTTTGCTTAATATTTATGGCTTTCAATAGATCAATTTATGAGCTATCAAAATTATTTTATCTCTGAGTTAGAAAGAGCAGAGAAATAAATATGTTTTGAAAATAATTTTCCACTTTAATATTTTTTTCTTTGTCTGTATCCAATCAAAACCTTTTTAGGCAACTATGAATGGTTTTCAACAGAAAGAAGTTAAGCTGAGACTCATTCTGAGCTGAGACTCATTCACCTTTAGCAGTGGCAGAGGCAATACCTGGAGAGAAGATAAAACATACTTCTAAATGGATTTTAGGGTGTGTTTGTGAAAAATGAGGACAGCCACTTGCTACAATTACAGTTCAACTTTTTAATTTCTCATGATGTGTCTGCTTTTGAATTTACGGGCTAGATTGAGGCACTTCCATGCAGGCAGCAATCTGGAAAAGAGTAAGTTACGGGCTTTGGTGGGCCCACTTGCCCAATACCACTTTTACAGGAGGGATTTCATTACGTAGTTGCTCTAGCACCAAAACTAATGCTGTTCCTTCACCATAATTTTAGGTATTTCAGTAACTCAAACAATTTTTTCAACTTTTAAACATATCTCCTATTAAGTCAAGACTTTGGGTCTAATGAAGTGAACGTGCCTTTTACATCACCTGGAAGAGAGAAGCAGCCATACAGTTTGTTGATGTGAAGTAGTGATTTAATAAAGCTTATGTGTTTTAAAGATTTGATGATGACAATTTGTTTATTTACTGCATAGAGGATAAGAACAAACAATATCATCAGGGAGGCCCTGCCATTGAGTCCCACAGTTCGTAGTGCATCCCCTTGCTCTCTAAACTCCTTGAACCAAGGAGGTAAGGAGCATAGGTACAGCTAAATACAATCCAAGTACCACACTTGGTCAGAGACTTATGTCTGAAGGATTATATATGCACAATCAATCCTTTCTATTACTTAGAAGTGTGGCTCTCCCATTTGGCACATTTCTGTTGTGTGATTTGGCTTTTCAAACATTCCCTTTCAAAGCAGCAGTTTGGAACTGGAATTAAAATGATGGCAAAAAGCCCTAATCAGAGCCCAGGGCCTCATCCAACCTGGCATTGAACATCTCCAGGGATGGGGCAACCACAGCTTCTCTGGGCCACCTGTGCCAGTGCCTCACCACCCTCTGAGTGAAGAATTTCCTCCTAATTTCTAATCTAAATCTTCCCTCTTTTAGTTTAAAACCATCCCCCCTTGTCCTGTCACTGTCTGACTGTGCAAAACTTTCTTCCCATCTTTTTTATAAGCAAACCCCCATTAAGTATTGAAGAGCTACAATAAGGTCACCACGGAGCCTTCTCTTGTTTAGGCTGAACAAATGGGCAAGAGTGTTTGAGTAAATTAAAGATTCCTTTTAATTGACTCATAGTTGTGTTCTTTTGCACATGCTCCACTCACCCTCAGCTTCTGAGCAAGATGTCTGTCTGTCTGTCTGTCTGTCAGCTCCTCCAGCGCCCAGCTTGAGCCAATACCATGGTTGCTCTCTGCCTGAGCAAGGCCTCTGGTGCAGCCAGGACACTTTTAGAGCAAGGGAACAGCCAGACCAAAGTGGGGGTGGGAGCACACTGTCACATTTCCTTCATACATACACACAACATGTTTTATTTTTCCATGACCATGATCTCATCTCCTGCAGGATTGCAGATTTTTGTAGCCTGCACTGTTTCAATGGGAGGTTATTTGGGTTAACAACCACTTGATGTTGCTATACCAACCCAGCTGATGGTGATGCTGAGCAGCTGGCTTGGTACAAATAGAGGTTTTACAGGCTACAACTCAAGCAGCTGGCTCCACGGAACTATTAGTTAGGCTAAGGCAATTCCCTAGTAAAAAGCAGATAGATCCACGCATTAGAAAGACAATACATGCCGCTCATACCCTAGCGCTAGCACTGATAACACTTTGTGATTTCTGAGGTCAGGCACAAATGGTGAACTGAAAGCAGGGTCCAACTGTTGAGCAGTATTTTATCTTTTCCCTGGATGGTATAATTTGGACTCTCAATTTAAGGAGACTACATTAAAAACAAAAAACAAGTACCATAGACCAGTAGGATTCAAGCTTATGGTCAGAAATTCAGTGCAAAATATATCATAAGAAAAAAACGATTTAAGTGATTTTAGATTTTTCTTCTTTTCAAGAATATTCAGTTCAGTACTAATGATAGTTTAGCATTCTTAGTATTTTTTAATCTTCTACTGTTTTCTTTACATAGATATGCTAAACATACCATTTAACTGCCATGACATCCTCTGTGAGAAAAGGTAAATACTGTGAATATTTAGGATCTCATCAATGCTTTTCTTTTAGCAGTCCTGAGAACTGGAGCAGGTAATGTGACCCCGTATGACTCCAGTGTGCTTATAAATGTATAGGTCCTCTTCAGACCAAGGCAAAACCACTGGTGAAGGATTATATTGGGGATGTATTCTTTATTTTGAGATTATTAGTGTTGAAGAACTCTGTAAATCTGTTTTGTTTTCAGCATTTTTTATGTCTTCACTTGTTAAGTATTTCTTCAAATTTAAGTTTGCTTTTGGTAGGCAGAGCAGGCTACCAAAATAGGCCCAGGGTGCACAACTCAGCCAGCCTCTGTGCTGCAGTGGGTGCTAAGGACCAGTGGGTGCTAAGTGGCTGTGGACCAGTAATGATAAGAGCTATGGTCTGAAAAAAACAGTGATGAATTTTTTATACCACAAATAATAAATATTGTTGTGGTTATTAATTCTCACATAGAAAATAACCATACTGATTGTATTTAGCTCAAAATCAAGATGGTTGTTTTAGTTTTTTTTTTTTTTTTTTTTTTTTTTTTTTTGTCATTTAATGTGTTTGTTTTGACTGAATGTAAAGTTGATTAGAACTAATAATTCCCTCATTCTTAACTGTGATTCATGAAAAAGTCTGAAGCGTTTCCAGAGATTAGCTCACTGTTAAACTTCATACCAAATGATTTAATTTAAAGATATTTACCACACAACTCATTGTTTGAACTACTTGCGGTAATGCAGAGAAAACTGATTCTGCAACCACCACTGTATTCCTATGTAATTACAGCAAAATATTCAACATTCTTTATCTAATTCAACTTTTTCATCAATGTGTTAACCTCAGTCTTTTTCTTTCCTTTCATCACAATCAGAATCAACTTCAACAAAACACTCTAACATCAACGTAATTGTAATGCAAAATCCTTCCTCTTTGAAAACAAAATTCTTATTTTAAGGTAAGCTTTTACTCTTGTGCTCTTTTTGTATGTTAACAGTTCAAACAAGTTGTTGGCAGATTTGTCACCTCAGAATTGAAATCTAATGTGGCTGTTTGAGGCTTGAAATTTATGTGAAATTAATTCTGTTTTGTAAGCTTTCAGCAGTACTGCTTGGTCCAGGTCCATGGATTCTGGGTCCCCATGGAAATATCTCTCAAAATGCCTGAGAAATTGTTTTTTGAGAAAACTGCCTCTAGAGACAGGGTTACTATAACACATTAGAAGTCAAATAGCTCTTGCTATTTAACCACAAAACTGGAAATGAAAGGATGTATTCTGTGCAGTAGCAAGTTTGCTGCTTTGTCATCAGAAGGTTATTAATGGTTTAAAAACTAGGCATAAAAAACAGTTTTGAGCTTAGCTTTATGTTATACATTATTTAAAGCATTTCTTATTCCATATCTAAATTGTTCCTACACCTACAACAACATTATGTCAGGAATGTCTTCAGTAGAGTCCTTACCAAATGCTGACACAAACTTGTCAGGCTGTATTTTTATTTCCCACAGAAAGTGATTTTTTTTTTTCCTGTCTCTGTTGGACAGGTTTTCCTCCATAAGTCTGTGGTACTTGTTGATCTTCAAAAGCCACAGGGATGTGATTCTGGGTCCCCACTCAAGCAGCAGGGTTAGACCAGGTGACTTCCAGGAGTCCCTTTCAACCTCAACCATTCTGTATTTCTGTGGTACAGAGCTGATGCTGCTAAGCAGTGTTTTGAGTAAAAGGTAATTAATCCCAAGCAAAAAATCACTCACAAAAATCATTTGCTGTCCAGCTTGTGAATGTTGGAGACTACACAGCCATACTTTCACTTCAGCTGCCCTTGCTGCCAAGAGGGCAGGCTTAGGTGCTCACTGTTACAAGCACTGGTGACATGTTCCTTCCCCGGGATGAGCTCTTTACCCTAAAATTAAGTGAACAGAGACTGAAATCGACTGAACAGAGATGTTTTCTTCTAGGTTACTAGGAACAGGGGACTGAGGACTGACAAGGAGCTTAAAGACATTCTTTGTTTCCTATGGATTTGCAATAGGAAGCGGTTTTATTTCTATAGTGGCAGGGTGCACTGCTTATTACCGCCTGCATTCTGGGTCTGGTTTTTGCTCGGACTAACTACACGCTGCTTGCAGGTGCAAAAGTCCAGCTGAGAGGTCACAGGGAGAAAACATCTTTTATTTAAACAGGTGCAAACCCTCTGTGTAAACTGCATTGCCTTCTGCAGCTTAGTGCACAGCTTGCCTCTGAATAAAGCTAGACCTGGGAGGGCTTCTCTATGGACTCACAAACTTGTGAAATAGCAGGTGGTTTGGAAAGACATCTGTGTGTTCTTGGAGTTTCAGTTGCTTTTCAGAGAGAAACATGTGGGAGCACTGGCTTGGTTTGACAGATTTCATTCTGTCTTAAAGTTTATTTGACTGAAAAGAACCAGCTGTGTCTTCAGTTTTTCCTCTACCTACATTTATAAATTGTCATTTTTTGACAGTATACTATTAACCATAATATGACACTAATGAAGCAATTCACTTATAAATTTGGAAGTATTTGTTGTACCACAGTAGGAATATGTCAGACATGAAGTACTACCAAGACAATTCATGCTGCTCTTTTGTATTCAATATACTTCTATACTACCCTGAAACCAATGAAATCATGTAATGTTAAAAAAGGGATGCATTTATTCATATGTTCTTGATTTAAACTCATTGAAGAAATCTAAGGTAAATCTGCTAATTTTCATTGGCTGTAGACCATGCTTCATATAGAATAAGCACTATCTTTAAGCATGATATAGAATAAACTTTTTGCCTGGTATTAAGACAATCTCTGAGCAGTGAGTAGACAGCTAACCACAGTTGCATTCTCAATTAATATTGGGTCTTAAATTTGCTATATTTACATCAGAATATCATAAAGAAATCCTGCTAATTGAGGAGTAACTAATATCCTGGGATGATGACAGAAATCATGTCTCTGCTGATACTCTTTTTATTGACCTTCTAAAGACTTGTTCATAACATACCATAGAGAAAGCTATAAGACCAGTCATGGTTGATGGGCTCAAATTAAAGCAACTGTAAGCATGTGAAACTAACTTGAATTAATCTTGTGCAGTATTCAGAGTTGTTGTTATTTTGTTTACAGTAAAATGTGAGCATTCCAGAAATTCTGGCAAAATACTTCTTTCTGTGAAGACCACAAAGCATTACAGTTTGATGATGAACAAAGTAGTTTACCACTGCTGTGAAAAACAAGCATATTAAGGATGCTTTTGACACCTTCTGTCTCTTGCCGCTACATGAATTCATATTGAATATCATGACTTGCAAGCTGAGCATATGTCCTCTAAATTGCCAGCCTTACAAAGGCAATGGTAAAAATAAAATCGTCTTCGTTCTGCTGCTATCAGCAGAATAGATGTTCATTGAGTCAAACATACAATTAAAAAAATCTCCTTTTTCCTCTTCCAGTTGCAGAATTATAAAAACAAGATAATGGGAATGACAGTTAGAACTTAAGCCCACAAAGAAACATCAGTGTAGTGACAGGAATTGTTCCAGTTGTGGAGGCTGTCTCTTACAGAAGAATTTGCTTAATTGAAAAGGAGGTCTACATTCTCCACATAGTTTACTAATAGTAAACTTACTAATAGTCTCTTATTAAAACTTTATTATTAAACTTTTCTATTTATTAGTAAAATAAGACTAATAGACTAAAATAGACTAAAAACCAAGAAGAAAGTCCTAGAATGCAAGATACTGAGCTGAAGGGACTGCTAAACCAGCCAAGAAGAAATGCCAGGCAGAAATCCTATCTTATTCTTGATCTAAACATTTACCTGCACCACTGAGATTAAATTCACAGCATCAAACTGCTTCTGAATTTAGATGTGTGAATTGTTCCTTTGAAAATCCTCCACTCATTTCTTACAAACAGCAATATTGTTGGGGGAGGGGGGAGTAGGAATTCATAACGTATCTGTTTGCTGGAAGTTTAACATGAAATCTGAGGAGCACGAAATTTGGGCATCAGCTGGAAGAGGCAGTGAGCACTACAAAGATGCTGACAGCACTCACTTTGCTGGATAGCGTCTGGGCTGCCTATCAGAAAAAAAAATATCAAAAAAAACTAACAGAAATGAAAGAGATTTAAGAACAAGTAACACAAGTAACAGAAAATGACAATCATAAGACCTCTCTCTCTCTCTCTCTCTCTCTCTTCCCTTGCCTTTTGCAGTGAAGGATTATTAGAAATCCCTGGAATTTGTGGGAAGTCATCTTTGAAGCCTTTGGTGTAAATTGAAAATTTTAATCATTTCAGGAGAGACATTTATCTGATGATAAAGTGCTTCTTTAGAGCCTTGGGAATTACCCTTGACATTATTAAGGCATAATATATAGAAAGTGAAGAAGTAACACTTCAGAAAGGCTATCCTGGCAGGCGGAGCAGATGTCGTTTTTTGTCGTGCAGATTTCTGTTGCGCATCTCCATTAGACCAAGAGTCTTGTACCTGACGGTGCCGAGCACTTAAAAGTAATCAAAGTGAGGTCTGTGAGAATGGGTTTTACACAAAGCTGAGCCCTGTTCTGACCGACTGCAGGGCTGGTGCTCCTTGAAACCTCAGTCTCCCTTTCTGGATAAATTTGATCAGTCTTAGTGGTAACTTTCATAGCTCTGTAGGTTTCTTTTCCAAAATGATGCAGGAGCCAGAATGCTCCTGCCTTCAGTGATTTGCATTGCCAGGTACTGATGATTATGGGATTTGGGAAAGAATATTTAGTTTGAATACTAACACCTGTTTAAAACTTTTTTTTTTTTTTTTTTTTTTTCTGTGATAATAAGTTTAAGTTTGCCTTCAGTGTAATTCTCAAATTTTGTGAATAATATATCCTTGATAGAAAAGATTTACAGGAAACTATATTTATTTGAAAAGACTAACTGGTAATGAAAAATGCATGTGTTGTTTCACTAAGGTAGTACTTTGGCTAAGAGAATGGCCTGCTTGAAAATAAAGAATTTGCATGTTACCAGCAAGTTCTCAAGAACTATTCAAATATTTTTGTACCACTTAAAAGATTTAGTCATCTCTACTTTAAACCGTGCAACTCCATGTTCCCTCTTCGTTGTTGTTTCTTCTTCTTTTTTTTTTTTTTTAATGTAGTATGTTCATTTGGAATGGTCAATCTTATTTCCTGAATATCTAATATCATATTTGATTGTGAATGCATTAATTGTACCTGCTAAAACAGGCTTTACGAATCTGTTTTTCTAGCTTAGGCTAAAAAAATGGTGTCCAGTATAAGCAAAAAATAGTCTAGTCTCAGAATAAAAATGGTAAAAAAAAAAAAAAAAAAGGTAAATCAAATTTTTACATGGTAAAATCAAGGTAACGTTACATTGTATGTTACAGCTGAAGTTCTATAATGCAAAATTCTATACTGCAAAATATCTAACTCCAGAAATAACAATAACATTAGTGGTTTATCAACTGTCATAACACATAACCTTAGCAAATGTTTCTAATGATGTTCTCCTTCAAAATCTTGTTTGCAGTTACTATCTTCTACTGTCATCTAGTGTCCAAATAAACTTTCTGCAAGTGCTTAGTGATTAAACAGAAAAATGAAATGCTGTTTTTTCCCAACTTAAATTGAAATGAAAAAACAAAACAAAACAACCCACAAACAAGCAAACCAGACCACAACAAACAAAACCAACTAACAAACTAATCAAAGAAATTTATTCCTAAACCTTGGGTATTTTCTTCAGTCTCTGTAGTTACTCAGTCTTGAAAAACTCTCTGTAGCTGAATATGCACGTCCAGCAAAGAAATATGAAATGGAGAAGCAATACAGAGCTTTGAAAAACAACAGCATTACAAATGATAGTTGAAGGAACAGGGACTGCAGGTCCTCCTTGTGTCTGAGCTTGAAGGGAACTAGAAGAATGTGGGCTAGGAGAAGGCACTGTCAAAATGTCTCAGCACAATTAAACATTAGAAGTAAATAAACATATCTAGTGAATAAAGATATTAAGATATTATTGAAAACCAAAACAAAACCACAACAAAATAATAACTAAAACCCTGGCAAAACAAGAACATGCATTAAATATATTCCATGCTTTTCCATGGAATCTGCCTCTTTCCCACATAAAGTAACAAGACAGCAGACATGGCAGATTTGAGACGTTCCCCAATGCATTTTTATGGTATTTCAGTGAGCACACTGCCAGTACGGTGCAAAATTGAGCCATATCCAATAGTTTCCTCTTCATAAACACCCCTGTCTATCATTCTGATTAGTATTTCAATAGAACTTGTTAAAGTATTGCACTGAGAAAATTTGACAACCATTTCACAGAAATACCAATTAATTTTCAAAGTGAAAGATGATATGAAACTCTTGTTTCTCCTTACGTGTATTTGCCACAGCCACCTGACCAAATTCAGTTTTCATTTCACAACATTCATGTAGCACACAAGACATTCTCAGAAAAGGGGGGGGGGGGGGGGGGGGGAGGACTGTGCTCACATATTGATGAGAAAATAGGATTTAAAATAAACTTTGATAACATGAGATGTCATATATGTATTTAGCCTTGCTAGAATTAGCTTCAGGAACCACAGCACCAGACTCTAACAACAAACTTAGCCCAGGGCATTAGTATCTGTTTTTGAATGCAAGGTTGCTGCCAAATGTGTATTACCTGTTTACTTCATAAATATAATTCCAAGGGCAAAAATGGAAGTATAGTGAAGTTAAATAACCCAAGGTCACATAAGGTCCATTTATTATTATATAATATATTAATAAAAGGCTGTTAAAAAAAAAAAAAGTAAAAAAATTGCTATTCTTGGTTAAAGTACATATTGAATTTCAGTAGGTAAGTGCAATAAAAGTTTTCACCTGCTTAATGGGATTTTTCTTAACCTTTAAGTTCTCTTCCTGTATTTAGTAAATATGTAAATAACCTACCATGTTTACCTGTTTTTAGTCAGAAAGAAAGAACTTACTGTCACTCTCTTTTAGTAGGTGATTTTTGTCTAATGTTAAAATAAGGTTATTAGGTTATTATATAGCCTGTTAAAAAGGCTACATATTAAGTCCCAGTATGTCCTTTAGAGAGGTCCATATGGAAAATGCAAAAGACACTTGGAACCCAATTAAATAAGTATGTGCATTATTTAATATCCTGTCTATTGCCTTACCAAGTAACTAACAAAATTTTGGTAGCTTGGAGTTCTGAAAGAGCTTTAATGCATTTTCTATAGAGAAAAAAAAATTATTCTATAAATCTGAATTATAATTTCCTTGCGTTATGGTGTGCAGAAAGAAAATCTAACAGTAGCTTTAAAAGTCAATAGAAAATACTATACCAGGGTGGCTGTCCCATCTGCAATGTTGCTTTAAGAAAACAGAAGAAAAAATGTTCCAAAAAGTTGTGTTTTTTTTTTTTTGTTTGTTTGTTTGTTTTTAATATGAAATTATTCTTTATTTATTTTTGAACATGGCTAGCTTCAATTGAAACATAACCTTGAAACCCACTAAGCAGCACAATACAACTTCAGTCCTTTGTGAAATGAAGTCTCTGTGTGTCTAGTAAAGTATCTAAGTATTGGTACTTGAACTTTTGATATTGTGCTATATTGGACCTCTAAAGGTCTACCTGCTCTTTGCTATAATATTAGAAACATTCAAGGACATGCCTTTTTGCATATAGTAAATGACATTCAGACAACTTTGTACTCATCAGACTATAAAAGAAACAGAACAAATATTAACTTCCTTTCTGAATCACTGCCTAACCTTAGCAAGCATTCTACATGCCAGAGGCAGCTCAACAGTAATTCCTAATATAAGTCTTTAATGAAAAATATTAAAATTCACATTCAGGCTTGCTAAATTAGATATTTGGAAAATAATTAAGAAGCAAATAGAGAGAAAGAAATAAATTGTGTAGGACTGACATGCAGTCAGTCCTACACAATTTAATGCATATATTCACTTGTCTGTTCTGGGACTGATGCTCTACTCATTTGATATATATATTAAAAAAAAAAAAAAATATGAAGCGTGAAAACTTATGAAACCATGCATC